CTTTTTATTACAAGATAACCGATTCGATACAGCACACTGTGAAAATATACTCGTCGTCGTCGTCGTCGTCGTCGTCGTCGTTGGAAAAAAACGCTTTCAGGGTTTTACGCCTATTATTGTATCGTTTGTACGTAGCTTTTCAACGCATCTTACCACGCGACGACTAGATCCAGAGAGATAACGCTTATTACCAGTTTTCAAGTGTTTTCGACTCGGCGCGCTGGATACACTTAACGTCTAAGCTTAACACTCTAGGTTAATGTTATTGTCTATTTACAGCAAGAAAAAAAAAAAAGAAATCGACGATCGAGCGTCGTATTCGTCACATGCATCGATCGTCGCGCGTTAGACTAAACGACGAAACCAAAACATCTCTGGGCACGCAAAAAAAAAACAGTTCGTACCGCGCTATTTTGCGCGCGCGCATACATTCTCTGGCAAAACTATTTACAACCAGTCTCGTAGATTTTGCGCAAAACTACTAGGACAGCTTGTCTTTCAGTCTCGTTCGATTATTACTCCGATATAAGCCTTGTCCCACTCGCGTCGTCTTTTTCAAACTGGAATAAACCTCGTGAAACGTCTACCCTACTTAAATATCTTTCAGCATGGTTCGTTTTCGTAATCTCCTGCTTGTCATCTCTACTCGATCCAACTTTCGCCTTTTTCTCGTTACCTTTCGAAGGGTAACGAGGCAGGACGAAAGCTTTCTCCTTTTTTGCTACATGTTTCCATTCAAATCAAAGTTTTCAGCCCGTTAAACGAAAGCAACGAAGCAACGCGCGTAGGAAAGGAAGGGACGACGTTTTCTCCTCTCCGTTACCCTCGAAACGATGCCGATGGAGGAGGAGGAAGGAGGAGGAGGAGGCTAGTTCCGAGGGGCGATCTTCTCTCACACGTGTCTTGTTGTATCGGCAACTTTCTCATCGACGGAGGCCGGTTTAGGAGGATATGGAGACAACCGTGGGTCTGTCCAGGTGACCGTTGTCGAGGATAATTTTGGCAGTGGCGGCCGCGCTAGGAGAGGAACTGCCGAGGGTAACGATATGCGGAGAAGGTAACTGGTGGTGGTGATCGGGCGAATGACTGGCTATCATGACCGGTGAGCGATTCGCGCACGGCGGTGACGGGCACTCCACTTTCGGCGAGTGCGTCTCGAGAAGTTGCTGATGCTGAAGTTGCTGCGGTTGTTGGGATTGCGGCTGCGTTTGTTGCTGTTGCTGAGAGGTGATCATGCCGTAATACATTCCAGGTGCGTCCGATTGGTACGAGACGATCCGACCGGAGGTTTGCGGGTTGCCGTAAAACGTACCGCCGTAGCAACCCGGAGTTATACTGAACGCATCTGTCACAATTTATTCAGAGTTGGAATATCAAGAGAGGTCAGCAGCATACAGAGTTGTAAAGATACGTCGCGTATGTAGGTGATAATTCAAGTAAGGATAGGCAAAATCACGCAACCATACACCTACTTACTTACATACGCATGTACATACCTGGCTCTAACTTTAAGCTGTTATTATTGTTGTTGTTGTTGGTGTTGTTGTTGTTGTTGGTATTGTTGTTGTTGCTGCTGCTGCTGCTGTTGTTGTTGCGACAGTTGTTGTTGTTGTTGTTGTTGCTGTTGCTGTTGCCGGTGATGGGCGTGTCGGTAGATTTCATGCCTCCCTTCGGTTTCCTCTTTCGCGTTTGAATGCTGTCCTTCTTCATGGAAGGGGGCCTGACCACTCCGTGCAACTTGTAGTAAAGCCCGCACGCGTTGCAAACTGGCTCACCCAGCGCGTTACGTCGCCACAACGACGTCTGACTCGTTTGACAGTTACTGCAAGAAGTGCCTACCCGTCTCGAAGCGGACTGTGGACACACGAAATCGCGTTAGAACGCTGCCGTACGCTCTCTCTCTTCGCAATCGAGCTACGGACAACTGAAGGGCGAACGAGGAGAGAGAGGAACGTTCGGGCAGTTAGAGAAAGACGGGGGGAGAAACGAGGGGGATGAGAGGACGTGGGCATGGCGGGGTAGGAAAGGAGAAGCTTACGTCTATTTTTCAATCTACGATCGATCAAGCTCGAACGTTGCCTCACGCATGCCGTGGTCAATCTGGTGGCGCGCACGCGAGACAACGTGACAGGCTGCTGTGTCCGCTCGTGAAATCTTGCGAGCCTGGCGAAACGAATCAACCAGCGACGAAAACCAAGAGAAGAGAAGAGAAGAGAAGAGAAGAGAA